ACACAATTAGGTCTGGGTCCGCCTTGGTTGGTCCTGTCCTGCTTCCAGGGCCTGGGAAGCTGGAGAGCGCCCTCCGCAACGGCCGGCTGGCCTGGGCCTGGGGCAAGGGCCCTTCTGGGCTGGTACCAGTGGGGAGATCTCTGGCCATCCTGGCTCTGGGTTCCCCCAGCCCAGCTGAGCTCAGGTTACAGCCTCCTTGGAAGCTCTGTGTGCTTACAGCCTGAGAGGCAGAGCCAGGGTAGGAAGGGGCACGTCGCCCCTTTCCCACTACAGGCCTCGGCATGGGCTGTGACCATTGCCTTTCCTTTCCCGCCCATTCCGGCAGGTCTGGCCTCGCAGGACCACTCATAGGCACATCTGGGGCTGCTGAGTGGACTGGGCAGGGTGCCTTCCCATGCTCAGGCCACCCACCTGAGCTGCCCCCATGCTCCCTGCCCAGCAAGCAGGGACTTGGGATTTTGCAGAAAGGAGGACCTCGACACAATACCAGCTCTCCTTGCCTCCTCTGTGCTGGCTGGAATCCTAAGGCAATCCTGTGAGGCAGGGACCCTTCTCCCTGGTTCCCAGATTCATACTCTAGGAGGTGACGGAACAATGTTGGCAGGAGGCACAGAGACGGCAGGGGTCTTTCCCGAGCACCCCCGCTTCCCACACACACCTCCAGGGGCCTACTCCAGGCCCCAGCACCTGGCCAGACTGCCTGGTCTCAGGAACCCCCATCTGCTAGTGAGCCATGAGGATGCCCCATGTCCCCCCACCCACTCATTCTGGGCCCTCCCCAAGGGCACCCCCCACATGCCGGAGCTCAGGCAGCAAGTGCTGAATGGAGAAGGGAATGAATGAGGTTGTGGAGATGCGGGGGAGCTCAGGCGTGTGGGAGGCCGGGAGGTTCGGGCGTAGCCGAGCAGTCAGCCGAGTGCGTGCCCCTGGAGGAGAGGAGGAGCAGGGGGACACCCCAGGAAAGCGTGGGGGAGGCCCAGCCTTGCTCTCCTCAGTCCCCTCGAGCAGAGCCACCCCTGCCCCACCCAGGAGGGGAGGAGGAGGCTGGTGGGAGAGGGTGCAAGGCTCCTCCACAGAGACTCTGATCTCTGCTAATTTGCAATCTTAAAATGCACCGCAAAGGCGCAGGCCTCATTGTTAGTACATTAATCAGGCAATCAGTGGGTCGGGGCTCCCAAGGGCTGCATGGAGGGGCACGGGAGGAGCCGTGGCAATGCTGTGCCAGCCTCCCTGGGAGAAACCCAGCAGGGGGAACGGTCTAAGACTGGGGCACCCACTGGCTCTGGCAGGGGGTACTGGAGGCAGCGGAGCCGGCTGGGACAGCTGGTCCAGGTCTTGGAGATGGGACCAACTTCCAGGGTGCAGAAGCACTCAGCCGAGACATCCCCATTCCCCAGGAGGAGAGGCAGGGGTGCCTGGAAGGACAGCTTCCCTGGCATGGGTCCCCTGCATCTGAGCAGTGCTGAGGTTGGTGAGCGCTCCCTGGGACTTGGATCCCCGGCCCGGCCCCCGAGGGGCCCGGAGGGGCTGCCCACACTGGTGCCTGTGGCTTGTTGCCCGGCCCCCACCTCCAGGCCCCTGATCCAATGGCTTGTTCTTCCTTGAGACAGGGAATGTGAGCCAGGCCCTGCGCAAGCCTGGAGCCCTCTCAGAGGAGGGGCAGGAGGGTTCCTGCCCTGGGTCTTCACCCCACCCCTGCTTTCTGACCCCTCCCACCCACGGCACACCCACAAGCCACATACCAAGCCCACACCTGGATTTGGGGGCCATTTGGCTTTTTCGCCTAAAGTGGGGTCCTGGCCTGATTTCCCCTGTTCCCCGACATCCCTTGGAGGCACCTGCTTTGTGTCTGATGGGGAAATGTCTCTCCGTGGGACCCCTATTAGCTTCTCCGGGTGTCATTTCAGAGAACTGCATCCTGGGCCTTACAGAGATAGCCACACAGCAGGTGGAGGAGGGCTCCCCGCGCCCAGCACACAGGGTAGTTCTGAGGCTCAGGGGAGTGTGAGCAGAAGCACTTTGTAAACTCCAGTAAGCTGTGCAAATGTCGAGTGGGATTAGCGCTGAGCCGGACACATATCACCCCCGTCCCCCAGCCGTGAGGCCTCTCCTGCTGCAGCCTGAGGGACGGAAATGGCTTTGTCTTTGCAGAATGGCCTGGCTGTGGCCCCGTCCCCAAAAGCCTTAGATGTGGGATGAGGCGCAGTGAACACCATGAACACCCTTGAGCTAGGAGGAGCACCCTGGCTCCTTCAGGGTGGCATAGCGGGGTCACTCCCTACGGGAGGAAGCTTCCTGCAGGTGTGGCCTTCCTGGAGGGTGGCAGCCCGAGCAGGGGTGAGGAGTGTGAGCTGAGAGAGACACGGAGCGTTGGCTCCGTGGCAGGTGCAGCTGGTGTGGGTTGGGGCCCCCTTCCAGCCCTGGGTGTGGAGGCTTCAGGCAGTGGGCAGGTTTCCCAAAAGTCAGGTGGGGTTTGGAGCCCAGGTTCCTCCCCCCTCACACCTCTGCCTCCCCCTGCAGGGCTGGGGCTCCTTGGGCAGGTGGAGGCAGGCAGCAGGGGCTGGAGGCCAGATCTGAGCCTCCAAGTGGGGACGGTGGACACTACCATCATCTATGCGTGGCAGGAGGGGAAACTGAGGTAGGAGGGGAAACTGAGGTAGGAGGGGGAACAGCGGCAGCCTCGGCCCAGCCTGCGGGCTGTGCACGGGCGGGACTGAAGTCACTGCAGAGGCCACAGAGAGCACGGCTTGGCCCAGAAAGGGTCCTTGAAGCTGTGCCACCACCACCACTGAAGTCATAACTCCTCTGAAGTCGCAACCGAGCCCAATTATGCAAAAAAAACACAAATTATGTACGATGATTTTTATGTGTTGGAAATGTTCCGTCGAAGCCGGGTGATTACAGGGGACGGGAAGCAGCTGCCACTCTCTGGGAGCCCATAACTCCCAACAGCTGGGAGCTGTCACTTATTTACGACACTGTTTCTGCCAGGAACGAGGGGGTGACAGTGGCAGTGAGGCCTGCTGGGCCGGGAGCCTGGGCAGGCAGCGGCACGAGGCCGGGAGCAGGGCTGGCCCGAGAGTGACCAGAGGGTTGGTTCTTTCATCCCACAAGCTCTGGGCACAGCTGCAGCAGAGCCTCAGCTGCCCCGGGCGCCCCGGTTCTCCCACGAGGCCTGGCTGGAAAGCTAGAAGCAAAGGGGCCAGAGCCTTGCTGGATAGGGAGGAGATGGCTGCCTGGCCCTCCAGGGTGGGGGCCTGGAGGCCTGGAGCCGGCCCCCCCACCTCGGCGCGCCTGCCCGGCCGCCTGGGGCAGCTGCGACCCTGGAAAAAGGTAGGTAATGACGATCGTCCGTAATAAGGCTGCTCCCATAATGAGCGCGGGGCTATTATCCGACCACAGGCTGGACACATCCGAAAATAAATTATTTTAAGGATCCATTAACGAATGCCTAATTAATGCCCAATTAGAGGGAAGCTACAGAGGAAACGCTCTGGACAGTCTAGAGGCAAGGCCTGGTTTTGCAGCCACAGCCTGGGGGCTGGAGCGAGGTGGGAGAGGGGAGGGGCCAGAAAGCGGGCCGGGATTGGGGCAGCCTCCGTCTGACAGCTGGTGCCACCCCCAGGCCCTCACAGACAGGCGCCCTCTCAGGACACCCTCTCAGCTCTGCCAGGGAGAACTGCTATTGTCTGTATTTTATTTTATTTATTTATTTATTTTTTGAGACAGAGTCTCACTTTGTCACCCAGGCTGCAGTGCAGGGGTGCAATCTCAGCTCACTGCAACCTCCGCCTCCCCGGTTCAAGCGATTCTCCTGCCTCAGCCTCCTGAGTACTACTGAGTCTCCTAAGTAGCTGGGATGACAGGCACCTGCCACCCGGCTAATTTTTGTGTTTTCAGTAGAGACGGGGTTTCACCATGTTGGCCAGGCTGGTGTCGAACTCCTGACCTCAGGTGATCCATCTGCCTCGACTTTCCAAAGTGCTGGGATTACAAGCGTGAGCCACCTCGCCCGGCCATGTCTGTGTTTCAGAAATGAGGAAACTGAGGCTTAGAAGCGGTGTTGCCTCTATGTTTTGAGGGCGTGGAAGACACTGGAAAGGAGACATTATCTGAGGTGAACTTTGGTGCCACACATGCATGCTCTGTTTGTGATTGGGAATGATGTAAATAAGGAGATCCTGGCCAGGCGCGGTGGCTCACACCTGTTATCCCAGCACTTTGGGAGGCCAAGGCAGATCACTGAGGTCAGGAGATCGAGACCAGCCTGCCCAACATGGAGAAACCCCGTCTCTGCTAAAAATACAAAAACTATCTGGGCGTGGTGGCTCGCACCTGTAGTCCCAGCTACTCGGGAGGCTGAGGCAGGAGAATGGCGTGAACCCAGGAGGCGGAGCTTGCAGTGAGCTGAGATTGCGCCACTGCACTCCAGCCTGAGCGACAGAGTGAGACTCCGTCCCCCCTGCAAAAAAAATAAATAAATAAAAAATAAATTAAATGAAATTAAATATAAAAATAAATAAATAGAGATTCCTCAGGACTCTACATGAGATATTTACTACGTTAGCGCAAGAGCCCCTCCCAGTATCTGTGAGTGCAGATAACACCAACCAGTGGCAGAGCTAGGAGGAGAGCAGGAGGCTGACGGCTGTGTCCCCGGGTCATGGCCTTCACCCCAGCAGCGTGCCTGGAGGAGCTGAAGCAGGTGGGGCTGGGGCTCAGCAGCTGTGGGGTGGAACTAAGGAGGTATGGGGGTGATCGGGGCCTTCACCCCAGACTCACCTCCCAGCCCAGCAGAAATGGGTCACCAAGGAGGGGAGGCCTCTCGTCCCCGATGGGTTCCAGGCTTGGGCCTTGACCCTGGCCTTGCTGCAGCCAGGGGCGAGGCTCTCACTGAGCTCAGCCAAGACGAGGATGCGGCCCCGGCGGGCGCCGGAGGGTGCGGTGCCCGTCCTCACCTGCACGGCCCCTGACCTGGCTGTGCTCTCTCTCCCTGCCAGGGTGCTGTGTGGAATTGCTGCTGCTGCTGGTAGCTGCGGGGCTGCCCCTGGGTGGCGGCTGCCCACGGGACTGCGTGTGCTACCCAGCGCCCATGACGGTCAGCTGCCAGGCGCACAACTTTGCGGCCATCCCGGAGGGCATCCCCGTGGACAGCGAGCGCGTCTTCCTGCAGAACAACCGCATTGGTCTCCTCCAGCCCGGCCACTTCAGCCCCGCCATGGTCACCCTGTGGATCTACTCGAACAACATCACCTACATCCACCCCAGCACCTTCGAGGGCTTCGTGCACCTGGAGGAGCTGGACCTCGGCGACAACCGGCAGCTGCGGACGCTGGCGCCCGAGACCTTCCAGGGCCTGGTGAAGCTTCACGCCCTCTACCTCTACAAGTGTGGGCTCAGCGCCCTACCGGCCGGCATCTTTGGCGGCCTACACAGCCTGCAGTACCTCTACCTGCAGGACAACCACATCGAGTACCTCCAGGACGACATCTTCGTGGACCTGGTCAACCTCAGCCACCTGTTTCTCCACGGCAACAAGCTGTGGAGCCTGGGCCCGGGCACCTTCCGGGGCCTGGTGAACCTGGACCGTCTGCTGCTGCACGAGAACCAGCTGCAGTGGGTCCACCACAAGGCGTTCCACGACCTCCGCAGGCTGACCACCCTCTTCCTCTTCAACAACAGCCTCTCGGAGCTGCAGGGTGACTGCCTGGCCCCGCTGGGGGCCCTGGAGTTTCTCCGGCTCAATGGCAACCCCTGGGACTGCGGCTGCCGTGCCCGCTCCCTGTGGGAATGGCTGCAGAGGTTCCGAGGCTCCAGCTCCGCTGTCCCCTGCGTGTCCCCCGGGCTGCGGCACGGCCAGGACCTGAAGCTGCTGAGGGCCGAGGACTTCCGGAACTGCACGGGACCGGCGTCCCCCCACCAGATCAAGTCACACACGCTCACCACCACCGACAGGGCTGCCCGCAAGGAGCACCACTCACCCCACGGCCCCACCAGGAGCAAGGGCCACCCGCATGGCCATCCACCCGGCTCCCGGTCGGGCCACAGGAAGTCGGGCAAGAACTGCACCAGCCACAGGAACCGCAATCAGATCTCTAAGGCAGGCGCCGGGAAACAGGCCCCCGAACTGCCAGACTATGCACCTGACTACCAGCACAAGTTCAGTTTCGACATCATGCCCACGGCCCGGCCCAAGAGGAAGGGCAAGTGTGCCCGCAGGACCCCCATCCGTGCCCCCAGCGGGGTGCAGCAGGCCTCCTCAGCCAGTTCCCTGGGGGCCTCCCTCCTGGCCTGGACACTGGGGCTGGCGGTCTCTCTCCGCTGAGGACCCGGGGAGTCAGCACCCAGCACTGCCACATGTCCACCAAGGAACAGAATTTATTTTCTTCTTTTTTTAACCAGTGGAAGACCTGCTGGGTTTCAGGAAAAGGCTGGTAGAGGCTTCGGCTGCTGTCTGGACGCCTGGACCCTGCCATGTGGATTATAAACCCAAAGTGTACAGCCCTAGGCGGGAGGGGTTGGCGCATCTCAGCCGGCTGTCCCAGCCAGCCCCGCAGAGCACCCACGGACAGTGTCCACTCCGGCAAGGTGGGAAAAGGCACTCCAAGTGCCCCCTCCACTAGCAACAGTGGGACAGTCGCCCCCAACGGCGGCACCGGGGCTCTGTGGAATCCTGATGGTTCGGAGAGGTCCGGAGGGCCCCGTGGTTCCTGGAGAAAGCAGGACGCAGAGAACAAACGAGGCTCGCCCACGAGGCTGGGCAGCCAGCAGTCTGGGCACACATGAGCAGGTGGCATCTTGGCTCTTGCCTGAGGCCACTGAGTCACCCTGCCCTGAATTCTACCCTACTCCACCTTCAGCCCCTCCCTCAGGGGTAATGCCTCTCATTCCTAATGTCTCAGGCAACCCTGGCAGACCCAGGCCCAACTGCTGGGATCCAAGAACCAATTACCAAAGGAAAGATCATCAGAGGCTGAAATTTAGAACTTCATCCCGGGCAATGAGGTTCTCACAGAAGGTGCAGTTTTATAACTATGTCCACTTATATATATTCACACTCTACATATAAATATATATATATACAAATGCACAGTCCCCTCCCACTCCATTACCTAACTGTACGTCTTCTCATGTTTATAAACTATACAGAAAACTGTATTTGCTGAACTAAGGATTGTACTGGTGATTTCTAGCAAGAACAAAGTGATAGAATTTGTGTCTAGAATCCCAACCTGGCAATGATAGTCTCCAAGGAACCTGGGCTTGCCAAGGGCCTGGGGCAAGGTGTCAGTGGGGACGGTGAGGAAGGGGAGACAGCAAGAGTCAGTTTGGGGGACCAATATTCTTAGATATTTACAGCATCACCTTGTTTTCATATGCAACACAAGCCTGTCTGCCACCCTGGAGCACCCTGTCACCCCTGCTGTCGTAGCTGTTGGCTTCAGGGTGAGAAGTGAGAAGCAGCTTGTTGTATGTCAGGGAGCCAGGCCTTGAGGATGAGCAAGATGGAGAAGGGGAAGGAAGGGGCTTTGGGTGGAAGCCAGCAGGCCAGGCAGCATCCGCAGTGTTAGTCCAAAGGGCTGGACCGTGTCGTCAGCCTCGAGTGTGGTCAGTGACGGTCTGGACGGGCCAAGGAGACTCTGGGCTTGAGCCCAGGTCTCCCGCGTGGCTCAGCTGCTGAATTTTTCCTTGAGGCTCTTTGGTGGGTGACCCAGCAAGGGCCCTGTGTAGGACAGCAGGAGGGAGGTGTCGGGGGGCCTTAGCAGAAGGAGAACGACGAGGGCATTTCATGAACCATCTCAGGCACTTCTGCATCACGGAAGACCCGGCCCTCCCAGCCATCCTGGGGATGCTCAGGGTGCAGGCAGAGGCTCGGGAGGCCGGACTCAGGGGTCAGGAGCAGGGACTGGGGCAGGCAAGCCCGGACAGGGAAGAGGGGCTCCGATCAAAGCCAGCCATGCTGCTGGCCGGGAGCCCAGGTGGGCACAAGCTCCTTTGCGCTTTGCACAAACCTGAATCCCCCACCAGAGAGGATGTGTGTGAGGAGCCAGGAACACTGAATCCAATTAAGAGAGAAAAATAATAATAACAATAAACGATCTTGGACAAGAACCCTGTTTTTCATTTCCTAACCCCGCATTCCTGACAGGTGGCAGATCCTGGGCTTCTGTGGGTGGGCGAGCCTGGCCGGGCACAGCTCTAGGAACACAGCACATTTGTTGGCGGGAGGAGCCGCAGGGGGCAGGGGCACACTGACTCATGGGACACGTGAGAGCGCGCACACCCCTAGTGCTCCATTTCGTGGCACTTCCCTCGCCTGCTCAGGACATGATTTCCACATTCTGGCTGCCCCGGGTTGGCACTGTCGCCGTGGCTCTCCCCAGAGGAGGCTGGTCCTGGGTCCTTCTGGCCTATTCCCAGGAGCCTCAGGAGCAACTGCTGAGTGATTGATTCTCAGGGGGCCGGGCAGGTGGCTGTGGGGGGACGGGCGGCTGCAAGGGAACGGTCAGTTCCTGGGGCCCCAGGGGTTTTCCAGGAGGCCAGGGACACACCTGGACAGCTGTGGGTGGGCTTGGAGACTGCGCACGCCTCTCTGGCTTCAGAGAAAGGAGAGGGTTCCCCGGATAGAGGGAGAAAACCTGTGTTTTCAGGCCTGGCTAGACAAATCCTCCCCAGTATGAGGCTTGGGGCGTTCACTAAAGGGAGTCCAGTGACTGCAGACCAAAGAATCCTCAGCCTGCAGTTGCTCCCCTGTGGCCCGCAGGCACTGACCCAGGCCGGTGCCAGGGCCTGGCTGTCCCTTAGAACCCAAGGATGCTGTTATGTTGTTGATTTCATTTCCAACTTCAGACAGCAAGGCCCTCAGTGGGAAAATCAAGAGTCTAAGCACTTTATTAAATTTTTTTTTAAAGACTTAGGAAGTCCTGTAATATGGAAGTGAAATGTCAGTACGAGAAATGCTAATATTTTATAAGTGATCCGCCTCTGTCAAGCACAGCACAGTCTCTGGTTGCCGACTGTTATTAGAGGCAAGGCAGTGGGGGCCCAGGACGCCAGGTATTTTTAGCAGCTTTCTCCTCTAAGAGGTAGGGGGAATCAAGGCAGCTGTGATGCAGGCGACATCACTTGTCACTCAGCAGCTCATGCTACGCGGCTACGACGACACCATCGCCCCAAACATCAGAGCAGCTGGACATGTCAGGGGTGAGGCAAAGTCTTCTCTATTCACCAGCCCCAGTCCCCCGCGTCTCGTTCAGGGCAGGGAGATGCAGATTCCTGTGGTTTTCCCCGAGGCGGAGGCCACCCCTCCGCTGCCATCTTCCCCCACCGCTTTCCCTGGACCCCCAGGACCCTCAGATGGAACCATCTCTTCTCCCACCCCGCCCTCCTGCCACGCAGGCCTCCACTGTGGACTGACGGGGACAGAGCCACCCCCGTCGGAGGGGCTGGGTGGCCACTGGGGGTCTCTAAGGCCTTTCACACACGCTCCCCCACCGACCCCAGAGCTTGGCTGGCTCTGCGTGGTTCATTCAACAAGGGATGATCAGGGCTTCCGTGTCCATCCACTGGCCAGGCTCTGAGGACATAACGTGAGAAGACGTGGCTCAGGGCAGGGAGCTCAGAGCCCAGATGAGGAAACAAGTATTTGCAACCAGTACGGAGCTGGTGCTCACGTTCGCACCCCTCAGCCACCAAAATGAGGAGCTCAGCTGGGTGGGGGCAGTCAGAGGGGGTTTCCAGGTGGAGGTGACACTCCAGTGAGTCTTGGAGGATGAGGAGCCGTCCAGAGAAGAGTGTGGGGAGTGGGGCTGGAGGTGGTCACAGTACCGTGTCTGGGGTATCGAAAACCACTCCAGGCTTGAGGGTGTGGGAGACGCACCCAGGACGGGGCGGCCCAGGGGATCCTGCTCAGGGACTCCACTCTGCCATGGAAGTGGAGGGGCTGTGTGGTCTCCCCAACCTGGGGTCATCCTCCCACCCGTCCCCCCAGCCTGTGTATAGGCACGTGGTTTCCCACCGTGGCACCCTTGCCGCGGTTCCTCAACAGTGGGTTTCATGGTGGAAACTTGCCTCCTGGGCTCAGCCAGATCCTCCCCTCGTGCCAGCAAGCTGTAGCGCTTGCTGGAAGTCTGCCTGGGCCACAGGCCCATTCCCAGACACCTGCTGCTTCCAAGCTGGGGAAGCGTTCCACGGCCGCGCTCCCTGCTTCCCCGCCGCCAGCTGCCCTCAGCCCCTCCTGGCTTCGGAGCAGCACCCCCGGCCCGTGCTTCTGCCTGTGCCGGCTCTGACCATGGACCAGCCCCAGAGCCCCTCCCACCAGCCACACCCTCTCTTCTCCTGCTGGGGCTGTTCACACCAAGAGCCAAGAATCCCATTTAGCAAATGTTTACTCATCACCCAACTAATCACCAGCACCGTGGTGAATGGGCCCTAGGAAGGCCTGTGAGCAGGTTTGGGGAAGCAGGAGAGCCTGGGAAGCCTCGTGGAGGGCAAGCTGCAGGGACTGGGGTCAGAGAGAAGGAGTTTGCTGGGGAGGCTCCCTGGAGCCACCGAGCCCTCAGCAAATTCCCCTTTACATGCACGCTGGCTTCCCAGGCAGGCCCCACCAGCCCCTGAGCAGACCCACCTCTCTGCCAGGGACCCAGCTCCTCCAGGCCCTACTCTACGCTGACCTAAGGAGGCAGTCTTTCTCTGGGTTTATTTGTTGTCTGTTTTTGTTTCATTTTTGAGACAGGAGCTCACGCTGTCACCCAGGCTGGAGTGCAGCGGCATGATCATGGCTCACTGCAGCCTCAGCCTCCTGAGGCTCAAACAATCCTCCTGCCTCAGCCCCCTGAGTAGCTGGGACTATAGGGACACACCACCACACCGGGTTAATTGTTTTATTTTTTATTTATTTGTTGAGACAGAGTCTTGCTCTGTCACCCAGGCTGGAGTGCAGTGGTGTGATCTCGGCTCACTGCAACCTCCACCTCCCAGGTTCAAGCGATTCTCCTGTTTCAGCTTCCCAAGAACCTGGGATTACAGGCGCCTGCCACCATGCATGGCTAATTTTTGTATTTTTAGTAGAGATGGGGTTTTGCTACCTTGGCCAGGCTAGTCTCGAACTCCTGACCTCAGGGGATCCACTTGCCTCGGCCTCCCAAAGTGCTGGGATTGCAGGTGCGAGCCACAACGCCTAGCTAATTTTTTGTCTTTTTAGTAGAGATGGGGTTTCACCATGTTGGCCAGGCTGGTCTCGAACTCCTGGCCTCAAGTGATCCGCCCGCCTCGGCCTCCCAAAGTGCTGGGATTACAGGCTGGGCCAGCACGCATGGCTGGTGTTCATTCTTTGAGGAGGGGCGGGTGCACGCTTTGATGGAGTCCCTTCCAGCCCCGTTCTGAAGGCTCCTGACCCGGTTCAGCTCCCCGCCTTGCCCTCTAGCTTCACTTTCTTCTAAGCAGGAGTTCAGCCGTCAGCCACGACTCCATCCCCTGTCACCAATCCCCCACTATCAGCTCGTAATGGGCCAATTTTCTTTTACCTTCTGTCTACTTGGAAAATATCTCAAGAACCTTTGATTGTGCGTTAAAATATCCTTTACAATTCTATGCTCGGTATCTTTCTGCTCCTCTAATTGTCCCTTTTAACTCACCATGCTTTCCGTATAAATCTCCTGGTCTCCTCCTTCCCCGCCTGTTAATAAATATGAACTCTAAAAAATACATAAACATCTACTGTTGGCTAAATAACTCACGGCACAATCAAAAAGCTGGGAAGAGAGACTCGGCGCGTTGCATGGCCACCTGAGAACCCTCCCTCTCGTGGTCCTGCCTGTCTCTCCAGAGAGGGCTGCTAAAGGCAGGGGAGCCCAGGCCCTGGAGAGCCCACGGGGTGAAGGGACCCTGGGGACCCTGGGGGAGAAGGGGAAGCGAGGCAGAGAGAGGAACTGTGCTGCTAGGGCAACAGGGCTGTCTCCAAGAGCACCAAGTGAGGGGTTTGGACAAAGGAGACCCTCTTGCAGGCAGCAGCGGCTGGTTTAAGTGGCATTTCAGTGGGCTGGCCGCCAAGGCCCCTCACCACAAGAAGTGGGTCACCCTCCTCTGACACCGGCACCAGCCTGCATGGAGGGGGCCCGCCCTCATCTCTCTCCTCTCTGCCCTCATTTCTCATTAGAGCCGTTAGTTTCTAAGCTCCAGGAGGGTGGGGAAGGATGTGCCTTTGTGTCACCGATTCCTGTGTGGCAGCGTGCACACTAATGGCATGCCTGAACGGCAGAATTTGACATTGCTGCTGCAAGATGTGCTTGGGTCACAGTGCTTTCCAAATTGGCTGAGGCTCCGCGCCACCCCCTTCCTCCCTCACCCAGACGCCTCAGAGGCCCCGCCAGCCACTGCTTCTGCAGCTCCCACTGAGGGCCTCGGAAAAGAGAGAGGAAGCAAGAGATGTATTAAACTCTTCCATCTCTGTAAGCACCATTTCCCAGGAGACCGACTCTGAGGAAGAAGGCAACACAAGTGCTGGAGGCCTACACAGGTAGGAGGCTGGGAGGAGGCACCAGGCTTCGTGTCTTCTCTCCCCACCACCGGCCCTGCTTTGGGCACAGTCACTGGCAAGACAAGAATGCCCTCTGAGTGGCAGCATCCAGGTGGCCACGTGCCACTCCAGCCAGAGAGATTGGAGGTATAATTGCCACGTAAGACTTGCCCAGTGACGAGAGGCCGGGGTGGGGACAAACCCACAGAGGAAACAGTAGCACGGACTGGATGGGCAGGGGAAGGTGGTCTTTAAGCAAGATCCCAAAGGCTGCACATGTACAGTCTCACTCAGAGAGAGAGAGCACAGCTCCGCGGGGCAGCCGTGTAGCCGAAGAGGCAGAAGGAGGAAAAGATACAGACGGGAACCACGTTAGGGAGAGGCTTTTGCACACACACGTGCACACGCCTCTCCAGCACGGTGTCCTGCCTCTCTCCCCTGTGCAGCCTCATGCAGCCTAGTGTGGGACATTCACATAGTCAATAGACTTGGGTCGGGTGCGGTGGCTCACGCCTGTCATCCCAGCACTTTGGGAGGCTGAGGCGGGTGGATCATGAGGTCAAGAGATTGAGACCATCCTGGCCAACATGGTGAA